TAAGAAGGTACAATTTGAGATGCTTTTATCTAGAAAATAAAAGTCTGTGCCCTGGCTTGGGAGTTCTCTTGGGAGACCAAAACTGGCCAATGACAAAGCTCTGGCTGTGGTCAACATAGCCCAGCTAGGACTGTCACAGGAAGTTCAGCAGTTTTAGCAGTTGTGCTCTGACACACAGCTCCTAGCTCCAGGAGGAATCACTTTTGTATTTGGTCCTGGACTCCTAACCTGGCACCCCATGCCTGAGCACTTGGGTTTTGCTCAGAGCACATGGGCTACGGTTGTAGCACATACAGGGAGTAGCAAGCCCTTATCCCTGTGCTGTCTGGTGCAGGGAATGCACACCCTCAGTGACATCCAACAGTATACAGATGAAAGGAGAAACAGGGAGTATGTGGCCATGCCTCCTGTGGTGCTAGAGCAGGTGGAAGCCAGAGATGGATGGACAAGCTCTATGTTCCACAGCGAGGATTCTTAACTTGGACCTTTGGGGATCTGTGATGCACTGAAGAGAGCCTCAAGATTCTCAAATCTGAGGCTCCAAAAGAGATAAAGAACCTTTGCTTTAGAGAGCAGTGATGCTCACACTTTAGTGTGCTTCAGAATCACCTGGAGGGCTTGTTAGAACAGGGATGCTGGGGCCCAGCCCTAGTGGTTCTAATTCATTAAGTTTGGAGTGGGACCCAAGAATGTAAGGGGATGCTAATGTTCTTGGTCCAGGGGCCATGCTTTGAGAACCATTGCTTTAGAGGATACCAAAAACCATGAGGAGTCCAAGTTCAAATTGTGATCTTTCCTTTTCAGACAGGAGCTCCAACAGATGCCATAGCCCTTGAAACCACCCCAAGGTCCCAAGGAACTTGAGATTTTATTTTTGGAAGAAGCCCCTGGAGAATTAGAGACTCTGGACCTCTCTTTGAGGTCAGGAAACATCTGGGAAACAGCATTTTATAGGGTGCAGGAAAATGCCTCCAGAAACTTAAAAGTCCAAGCAAAACTGAGCTGAAAACTACATGGCTTTCTCTGGCTGATCAAATTGCTGCACCATTTGTGAACAGTGAGGTTTTGAGAATCTGGGCAGACCCAGATCCTCTCCTAGAGACTATCTCCTGATCCTTGTTGTTGAACTTGTATCTGAATCCACATGGGCTAAGATAGGAGGCCTGATCTAAGAAAGAAAGGGTGTCTGCTGTAGGATAGAATCTGGGCATAGGAAGGAAATCAACAACTCAACTAGACAGAATTCAAGAGCCTCATTCACAGAACCCTTTGATCAGGTCATTGTGTTAAGGGGGAAGAGGTAGGAATAGTACTCAGGGCTGTGCTTACCTTAAGCGAGAGCAGTGGAGAGAGGACTGGTAGGGCCATCTGCCAGCTTCCTTCAGACCTGCTCTGAGTAAATCATTCCCCCATGAAAGGGGAGGGGGAAATGAAAATGTAGATTCATTCATGAATCAACCTCTGAAGCAGGAACTGTGGCTTTTGAGCTATGCAGAAGAATTCTCCTTTGCTCAAGGTAACATTGGCTTCGACACTGAGCTATATACATCCTTGGGAGAGGCAAAGTCAAAGTCAGGGAGACCCTACAAATTAAGAGATGAGGAAGCAACTTGATAGAGAAGGCAACATATTAGAGTGACTGAGACTGTGGATGTGCTTTGCCATCATCCTACTTGGACTTGAATCCTGACTGTGGAGTTCTGGGCATGTTATTTAATCTTTCTGTGTCTTAGAATCCTCATCTATAAATTGAGGGTAATAATAGTGCCTATTTCACAGTTATAGTAAGAATGAAGTAAAACAACCCAGCTAAACTGTTTAGCTTGGTGCCTTGAATATTTTGAGCACTCAATGGTTAAAAAATAAAGTGTGGTGAGCATGAAAAAATTTGGGATGGTGGCAATACAGACCTACCTAAGTGACACTGGCAGAAACAGAAAGTGGAGCTATGTTATAGCTACTGCTAGTCTCCGTGGAAGGCTGACAGAGGTCCAAGGTGTGAGATGAGCATGCAGGGAAAGCCAGGATGCCTACGATGGTGGGGTTAACTAGACAACCCTTCTAGCTATAAGGTAGGGATATCCTATTCCTTTAAGCCCTGCAACATTCAATGAGTTTGTTTTGTGACATTTTCTCACTGCCAACCTAAGTGCCAAATAGCCTAATGTGAGGAAATAGAAGTGAATGAAAATCAATATTGCTAGGAAAATTGTATTGATGTCATTGGAAACACTCTGAAGATTTGCAGTATTTAGGTAGAACCCCCATTTTCAGGGGAAAAACTGTGGCTCCTCCTCCTGAAGTTCTAGAAGGTGGGGAGGGGTTGCTGAAATAAGAACAGTGGAGGTGTGTGCTGGCCCTGAGGTGACCTAGCAGGCAAACACTGAAAAAGAGAACTCTCTTTCCACTGGTCCTGAAAGAGCAGGACCTCTTCCAAAACTCAGTACCCAAGACAAAACAGTCCTGACTGCTTAGAAATAAATTGATACTGAGACAAGGAAAAACGAGAGTTCTAAAAGCCATGCAAAATAGCCAAAATAAATGATATAGCACATGGTTAAATTAAAGTTAACATCCACTGGAGCTGGAGGTAGGAAGAGACAGCCAATTAAATCTTAGAAAAGAAGACTAAAGAAAAATGATAAATAGTTATGTTTGAGCATGTTGGGTTCTTTTCTTGTGGGGCTTCCTATGGGCCTACTAGTATTGCCTTGTAGTTCTGACCTGGCTGTCTGGGATGTTCCTCCTGCAGCCCTTCGGTAGGACCTCACCTCAGGGCCTCTTGCTGTCCAACTGGCCACTGGACATATTTAATCACGGTCCTATTTGGAGTCTTTTTTTTTTTGAGACAGAGCCTCACTCTGTCGCCCAGGCTGTTGTAGTGGCGTCATCTCGGCTCACTGCAACCTCTGCCTCCCAAGTTCAGCAATTCTCCTGCCTCAGCCTCCTGAGTAGCTGAGACTACAAATGCTTGCCACCATGCCTGGCTAATTTTTTGTATTTTTAGTACAGATGCGGTTTCAGTGTTAGCCAGGATGGTCTCAATCTCCTGATCTGGTGCCTGCCTCAGCCTCCTGAAGTGCTGGGATTACAGGTGTGACTATTTGGAGTCTTTCAAAGATGAAGGGCCTGACTCCTGTCTTCTCACTCCCATACTTACTGGGAGTAAATCATGGCTGGAATTTCCACCACAACCTCCTGTGCTTAAGAGTCCTCCTCTTGGACAGGGACCCACAGGGACCCAAGGATTTATCTGATCTCTGCAGAGGAGACAGCAGAATCTGATTTCTTCTTCAGGAAGTAGCCACCTGTCTTCTGTGTGAACCCCCCAAATCAGGGAAACCGAACTTTCTTAGGCATCCCACCTACCTCACTAAAACAGTGGCACCCTGGCATCCTCAGCTTTCAGTTTTCTTAAAGCAAAGTTTCTCCATTATTTTTATTGAAGTTGGTGGCTGTCAGATGTGGAAGCTAGTCCATCCTTCTATCCACTACAAAGTAGGGCCTTTATATTTACTTATTTATATTTTCTTTTCTGAGACGGAGTCTCACTCTTTCACCTAGGCTGGAGTGCAATGGTGCAATATTGGCTCATTGCAACATTCACCTCTCAGGTTCAAGCAATTCTTATGCCTCAGCCTCCCGAGTAGCTGGGACTACAGGCGTGTACCACCTGCCTGGCTAATTTTTGTGTTTGTTAGTATAGACGGGGTTTCACCATGTTGGCCAAGCTGGTCTTGAACTCCTGACCTCCAGTGATCTGCCCACCTCGGTCTCCCAAAGTGCTGGTATTACAGGTGTGAGCCACCACGCCCTGCCAAAGGAGGGCCTTTTTAGCAAGAAAACAATAAAGCAATACTCATAATTAACTCTCTTGGGATTCCCCCAGGGAAGCCTGGAACTGTAATAAAATGAACTTGAGCTAGCCTATGGACATGTATCAAGTTTTAGAATATAACTGCTGTTGTATATACTTAAGTAACATTGAGAGATTTTTCAGTCTAATTTTTTCCAGGTATCTTGGAGAACTACTTGCCCCAAGCATTCGTCATATCCAGCTTGAAGGTAAGTGAAAACATAAAAAAATATAAAATAAAAGGAGAAAGCTACAAATAAAACTTCAAACTCCACTTAAAAAGGTTGAGGAAAATATATAGCCAAGGCTTCTGAGGCCCTTGTTGGTTTTTAAGTTAGAGGTCAAAATGAGTGGTTCTTGTTGGTCAGACAATCTACTCTTCTAGAAGGCCCCACTGAAACTATCCTGAGGGATGGCTCCTGTGTCTTGTTTTTATTGGTAGCTTCATTCATCGTCTGTCATTCCACTCACTAGAAAAAATTTTGAAAGATATTTTATTTTAAACTGTATCCTCTATTTTCTAAGTGTTCAACAGCACAATAGGGCAACTATAGTTAAAAATAATTTATTATATATTTCAAATAACTATAGTGGAATTGGAATGTCCCTAACACAAATAAATGATACATGCTTCAGGTAATGGATACTCCAAACATCCTGATTTAATCATTACATTGTATGCTTGTTTCAAAATGTTATGTGTCCTCCATAAGTATAACTAGTATGTAACCATAACTAATTTTTTTAAACTGTAACTGACAGAAAACAAAAAACCTCCCACGAGAATGGAGCATGATATATGGGAAAAGTTTTTCCTTCTCTTCAACATGATAGCTAGGTTAACTGTCATACCACCAGAGAATTTTTTAAATAACCCAATATGCCAGGATAGGGAGGCCATTCACATAAAATTTTAAAAAATAAACAAGCCTATTTTAAAATAAAACAGAAGATAGAGTTCTCTAGTATGAGAGAGCACACTTAATGCCTGCAGCCAATAAATGATCATAAGTAACAGGCAAGTATACCTGCTACTGAGTCCTAACACTTTCCACATATCTAAAACAACAACAACAAAAAAAGTCCAAGAGCAACCAGACCCCTTCCCCCCAAAAGCACTGAAACAAAAGACTGATCTGTTTATACAGTCACATGAAAAATAAACATCTTTATTTTTTTGCCTACTTTATTTCATTTTTTCAAATAAAATTTAAATCTGTACAAAGTATACTGTTACAGTATATATTTTATAAGAATCAATGCCTAAAAGAATCACAATACTTCAATAAGCAGTACAGCAGACCTCGCTAGTTTTCAGCTTTGATATTGAACAAACTCAAGCCGGCTGATGCACAACACGTTTGCTTGGTTTCCACATGGTGAGTTCCCAGCACTGAGATGGGAGAACATGACAGCAAATATGGTAATATTACAGCCCGACACACTGCGTTTCTTCATGTGATAATAACTGCACATATTTAATACAGAATGCTCAAATTTACTTTTTAAATTGTATTTGCTTACTTCTTAGTTGGCAAAATTCAGCATTCTTAAATGGGGTCCCCAAACAGTGCAAATTAATGATATTCTAACTGTATATTGGCACATCTCCAATAAGGATTAACTTGTAAACTCAAAGAATATCAACAACTTAGTCCTAAATTTTAACTAATATACATCTGGTCCATTTAACCAAAGTCATTTTGGAAAGATATTAAAGAACAATTCTATTTCTGAAAGGATATTGTTTTGACCATTCTTTAGAGAAGATAAATTTTTAAATTGTCATTAAAATGTTTCACTATAAAAATTTTACAAACTTGATTAGAAATTTCAAGATTATGATTCACAGCAGACAAATACAAACTGTATATTCCAACAATACCTATTCTTAGACTTTCAAACAGAGCACAACCATGTCAGCTGTGTTAACTAAAATTCTGAACAGTGTACTAAATTTATAAGTGGTGCTGGGTCTAGCAAGTGTAAATACACAGTATATTTCAATGAAAAGAATTGTCTTCTTTATACTTTATTTGTTTTCCCATAAGGAAACATTAATGTTTACATTCTTTAATAAAGTTAATCTTACATCAGAATATAACTTAATACTGTCAGCAACAGGGACCACACACAGTAAATAAGAAGCACATTTAAAATAAGTCTGAATTCACATAGATTAACATTTGTTGGTTAATAAAATATCGACAGTATTACAATCTTACAATATTTACAGTAAGAAAAATCTAGAGTAATATATACCTTTCACAGCAGGATTCCTTTTTTTTTTAAAATTTCTTCCAGTTTGGGATTGTGTATACACGAAAAGCTCAAAATAAAGCAACTCTGCAATATAATCTTAAAATAATGGCTACTAGGGGGAAATTCTATCACAACCATTGAAAATAATGGTGACTTCTCACGGAGTCTGTGGCATCTGAGAACCCAGTTAATTAACCAAAGTCTTGCTCACATTAGCCTCAGTTAGCCAGATTAAAGCAGAACTCCGGCCTTCCCTGACTGCTGAAAACCCAACAGATTTTCTCAACATGCTATAAGAAAAGAGGAAAAATTGGTTTCAGCTCACACCTCATGGCTGGAAGCCTCCAGCCAGTGCACACTCCCCAACTTATGCTAAAAGAGGGCCAATTTCATCCCCACAGCATCACAAGAGTCCACTCTCTAACCACACAGCACTCTGACACCAAGCTCTCCCATTTCTCAACTCTTGTGCCTTAGGATAATGCATTAACTTAGCCCATATAATACACACCAGCATCTTAAAGACTTGAGACCAGGGCAAAGAAACAGACTAGTGTAGTTTGCACTGAGATCAATAGGAAAAATGGGAAGTGATGCACATTTCCAATTAGAATGACAAGAAGAAGACCCACATCCCTAAACTGGAATTTGGTCAGGGCATCAGAGTTAGCACCCCCTCTCTGAGTACCACTAGCAATTAGGATGTGTGCTCTGGGCCTCCTCTAAAAGAGAGCGTCTACAGTAAGTAATACAGTATGGGACATTAGTTCAGTGACGACTCCCAAGAAAGCAGATACAATTCTTGAATCTGGGGCTGTCTGTGGCACCTGAGGTCAATCATCCAAGCTGTGATCTGTCCCAACTCTGCTTACTTTATCTGATGGGCACAGAGCACTCAGGGATATGGCTGCTGGCTACTTTGGACTCTAGATCTCACAGGTAATCAACAGGTATCTGGGATTGAATTAGCAAACTGTACCATAGCTCCTTAAACAGACACTGTAAAGTTTGAAATCATGTCAAGCATGAATCTTCACTGTCAGGTCAGAAATCAAAGTGGGAGTCTTCCCACATCAGCCAAGTTTATTTTGTCAGAACCTTAGAGGAGTTGGACAGTTTTTCATGTTGCAAGTGATTAGTTTACTTATTTCAGTCAAGCTGGATTGGCAAATCAGGCTGATTTATTTAGTGAGCTTTGTTTTCTTGATTCTTATATGTGTGCTAACCCAAAGCTGTTGTATTTGGGCTAAAGACACTGACAGAGAAAATTCAAACGACAAAAGTTTTCAGCAAACTTCTGTGGCATTTTTTCTTTTTGGAAGTCAATACAAGATCTAAAGGTATTTCTACCCAACAAAGTCTGTTTAAGTGTTTAATGTTATTTCCTTTTTGGTCCTATACAGAATGCTATGACTTCTATATAGGTCTGAATGCTGCTCCATGTAGATTCCTTCTGTATATCTAAAAATATATACTTTTCAGTAGTTCAATACATGGTTAATCTTCCCACAGAGGAAGATTTTTGTAATCACATGTTGCAAAGTAGAAAACATCTCCTTTCTAAGAAAGGAAATATACTTTCCTATTGTACACTTTTGAATAAGCCCAAAGGCATGCACCAAAAATCATTATTAAAACTAATACATGCAATAAAACGGTGTAGAGTTAGACTTAAAGTGCTGCTTCTCAATTTTTTTAATTTGAAGAAGACATTTTGTCAGTTGCAGACTGAAAGATCTTTCCCCCACCCACCCACCCCACCCCATGGCATTAAGAGAGAAAAGTAAAAAGTATGCATAAATCTTTAATTATTCTTTACATGGGGGGAAGAACAGATATATCAACTATCCTATATATAAACTGGATTCCCAGTTTTAAATAAAACCAATATTTACTGGTAAAAATTGTCAAAGCGAATACACCCAAACAAATGTTACTAGTAAATAAATGTTCTACATAGAGAATAATTTACTTTGGTTTTATGCACTTTCTCAAAAATAACACTAGTGTCCAAACGTCGCCAAACTGATGTGTTCCAGCAAAGTTGTAAGGCAAATCTTTTTTTCCCTAGTGACATCTTGTTTCCCAACAGACAAAAACTAAAATCTTTTGGTGAGGAAGGGGTTAAGATAATGGCTAACCCCTTGGCATCCTGAGCATTGTGGTTTATCAGACTCTACCCTGCTAGAAATTGTCAGGCACCCTGACCCCTGCCTTGAACCAGGAATGGCTCCCATGTCTAGAGATGCCCTGACTCCTTATAAATAGCTTTCAGAGCTTTGCTTCTTTTTCCCTTCTCTCTGGATGTTATAATGTCTAACAAAGCTGGTTGCAACGTCACATTTTGCTAGTAGGGGCCACCATCTAACAATAATTCCAATCTGAAAGGTTTTAAGCCAATAGTTGGTTCCCAATTTTATCAATGATTTGCGCTAAAATTCTCTACAATTTACTTAGAGCAGAAATCCTTAACTTGGGTTTCAGAAGATATGTGATGCCCCTGAGGTTGTATGCAAAATTACCCAGGTTATGTGCATTTTTTTTCCCTGGGGAGAGGATCCATCACACTTTCATCAGATTATCAAAGTTATCTGTGACCCCCAAAAAGGGTTATAGGGACTTAGAGGGATACCCGTAATTCATTTTATACCAGGACTGGGAAATGGGGGCAGAAAACTGAAAATGGCCTCGAAAAAGGCCAGAGACAAATTGCTGATCCTTTCCCTTTATTCACATTGGGAAAATAAGTACTTCGAACTAGGAAAAATCATTAATTAAGCTAGTTAAACTCCATTAAAAAATAATCAAATCCACTTTCTAAAATTTTTTCATTTTCGATATGTGGTAAATTTAGTCTCCAAGAAAAGGTTCCAAGACTGAATTTTTCTCTTTTCCTAAGGGAAATTCGTAGCTATAATGCTGAATATCATCCACATTTAAAGATTTGACAACACAAAAGTTAGATAACTCTTGATGTGAATCTTTGACTTATGATTTTGAGTAAGGGATTATCTAGAATCAAATATTCACTTATTAACCTTCATTTCCCAAAATTGGTCCATATTTAGACAATTACCTGGCACAATTTCACTAGATAAACCTAAAATCTGAACAATGGAAGTTAAACTTCTATCCAAAGCAAAAAACAAAGCCAACTGAATTGGCCACAAACATTCAGACTATGTTATAGAGGACCTTCTCATTTCAAATACATCACTGAATTTTCAACAGAATTTACAAACGTAAGATCCAGAATGACTAGCAAAACATGCTAAGAGCATGTCAAGAAGTAAAACTCCCCCCTCCCCAATCCGGAAACACAGTCAGGCATTCCAAAAATAAAACAGATCTGAAAAGAGGCCTCTCACTTGGTTTTAAGTATGAGGTGTGTACAAAGCTATGAGAAAGGGAATATGAAATGAAATAACCAAATAACTTAAAAAGTCATTTTAGTCAAAAACCCATCTCTCTGTTCCATTGATAAAACTATCAATTTTTAAATTTTTTTGCAATTCTGTGTTGCATAATATCACCAAGACAAAAAATATGTTCACAGGTATACTTTTTGTTATTTTCTTTCTGGAGCACATCTTTGAGGTCGTAAGACCGCATCTGGTTAAAATAAAGTCTCTTACCCTTGCTTCCCTTCCCCCTCAAAAAGTGATTCAACCCTGAATTCCAAAAAGGAATATTCAATATAATTACTTTAAAACCAGTTATATCACTTAGACCATGAGGAAACTATATGAACATTATGGAAAACTACACAAAAGAGGGAGCTGCCACTTGCCACCCACCTCACTTCCAGCTTTGTAAGCATGTACCCAGCTAGACTCATACATATCTCACTGACTTTAGTGAAACAAACCAACACACCAAAACCAGGCCATCTCAGGCTGGAAGTTGAAACTCAAAGACATCATTTCATATACACACACATATATATTTCCTATCCTAAGCTTTAACTTTGTCTATTTAAACAGTTTAATAAAGCTCACATTTACAAAGGATTTTATCGGCAAATAAAGGTCCATATTAAAAATTTTACCAAAACAAATTTTTGTTTTACACAGCTAACACTAAGAAATATTTTCTTGGTCTTATAAAGTATATTTAATTGCATATAAGTTTTGCTTTGGGTGGGATATTGAAAACATAATTCTGCATGAAATTAGAAAAGACTAGAAACAAAAGTGAAAGTGACTAGTCAACTTTCAAAAAATCAAGTGCAAAGATAAATAGTGCAAATAATGATAACTAGAAATTTTACAGGCAACTTTACATAGTCTTTCCTGCTTTTGCACTTTTACACATTGACAACTTTATAAACCCTAACAACTATATGCAGCATGGACATGGGCTATCATTTATCTCCACTGACTAGGCTTAAAGAAGCCTTTCAAAGACTTGTCTCACAGTCATTTAAATCACTACTTCTTGACACAGGTTTGGGAATTCACTTCTTTTTAAACAAATTTCTAAGGGAGGGGCTATTTAAGAAGGCTCTGCATTGACTTAAATGAGTTATAGTATTTAACTATTATAATTTAAAATCTGACACAAAATGTGAAAATTATACTAAAGTGCCAACTCTACAAAACAAGCTATAGTAAAAATAATCCTGCTATTGTTAATGAACTTGACATTCATAAAAAAGAAAAATTACCTTCAAAGTACAAAATCAGAACCTCTTTTTTGCTATTTTTAAAAGAGATTTTTATCACTAACATATAGAGATGTGAGTAAAATGAAACTTGAAAGTAATCTGTCAAAATCACCGGGAATAAATCCATACTAAATTTGACAACAAAGAGTTAATCCAAACATACTTGAATTATGTAACTTTAAAAACAAATATTATAGTAATTCTTTATCTTAACTTAAAACACTAATGGAATAATAGGAACAGAAATCTAAACACTATCAGCTTACCCTACAAAGGACATATGAACCACCAAGATGTACTATTAATAACTTATTTTATTAATATTTGCCACCACTGAACTCTTGGGAATACTACAATTTTAAACTAAGAGACAAAGTGGGGAAACAGGGACATGAGTTTGGGGGGGGTATGTTGTCTAATTTTAGAAATATAGTATTATTAAGGGCCTCATAAGGTCCACAAGGTTAAATGATTGCTATGGTTGCAAATGTAAAAGAAATAAAAAAGATACCTAAAATTGCAAGTTAGTGTTTTTATCTGGTTTATTGTCCTTCCTCTAAGAAATTTGTGTGGGCCAAAGTCTCAAAGTTCTATAAAAGCAAGGAATAATAAGTATCTTTGTGGACTGCAAAATCAAATAATTTGATCTAAGGACCATTTTGAAAAGTAAATTACATTGTAACAAGAGCCCAACAAAATAGATAGTATGTGTGATAAATATTTCCGATAGTTTAAAAATAACTGCGAAAAGCTTAAAATTTTCTTTTCCTCAAAATAATAACTCCCCAGCACCCACTTGCCTTGACCAGAAAAGCTGTCATTCCACAATTGTGCTACTTAATTTGTCCCAGAAAAGCAAACATGCTACACATGAAAACAGACTTGTATAATACTTCATCACCATCATAACTCTAGCTGTAGTAAATAACAGTTTTCTCATAATCAGTAAGGGACCCATTTTCTCCGGCTTTATTGAAACTTCCTTAGTGAAGGTCAACTTCATTTCCTTAGTAAATAACTCTCATTCAGACTCCATCATAGTACCTTTTCCTACCTCTAGTAAAAATTCCTCCCATTTTACTTCCAAACCATTCCCTATATACCTCTCCAATGCCCATCCACAAACACATTAAACAGCTCTCCTCATCCTACTCTCAAATTTCCAAACCAGTAAGTCTCAGATCCCAGTAACTTACCTAAAATACACATACCTCTTACTGTCTTCAGTTCACAAGTTTCTTAACAAACATTAATTTAGATACCCTTCATACTGCCAGCTTAAGACTATGGGGAAAATAGCAATTGGAAAAAAAAACTGCCCAGTTACCTCGTAATACTGAAATTGTTCTGGATCATCATTTAGCTATGTTCTAAGGCAGGAGTCAGAAATTTATTTACTTCTCTCTGAAGAAGTAAGCTTGAGTGCCACTGGTAGGCCTACAAGAATAAAAAGGGAGAGAGAAACAAAAAGAAGGATAGGAGAGAGATGCCAGATCTACAAGGAGGTAGGTCAAGTGCCACCAACAACTACCTGCATTGAAAACTGCCAATCCACTCCAGCTAAATGCAAGTTTGACTCAAACTCAACATGTGTCTGGTAAGTCAATAGCTGATGGCTGTCATTGAGCTAGTCAAGATGAAGAGGTAAGTCACCTGTCCCATAACTTTAACTGCCACTTCACAATAAGGACATATTTTCTTAAATCCTCCTAGGATCCTTCTGTGTTAATCTACCTTAGACCAAAACACACACTAACAAGAGTATTTCCATGTTTTTCACAACTCTAGAATATAAGGACTTGGTCCTTGAACTTGGAGGCCTCTTAAGCTATTAAAGTAGAACCGAAATCAAGAAAATTAAACTCTTTAGCTTAAATTTTTTTTCCATGAAATGCTACAAAATAAGCTAATTGCTAACAATAATCAAAACAATGTGTGTATTTATGAAAACATGACAATCTTGTGATTCCAAAACAAGTGAAATATTTCTGATGTGTAAGAAGCAACTTTATTTTACATAGAGGATCACCACCATGTTTCTGCCTATCGACAGGACAATTTTCCACGAAAGCAAAGGACATCAGGAAGGAAAAATACAAACCAAAACAAATACCAAACATGGGGACAAAATAAAATGAATGAGTAGTTATGACATTCTTGTTAAAAATGTTAACAAGTGACCTTTGCCACACTCAGCTTTCCTAAAGATATAAATTGCCTGGCCCATTCAACATCAACACTTGGTAGTTAGTTTAGCAGATTCATTGGCTTGGAACCAATAATTATTTCATTTTTCATCTGGTTGTTCTTGTATCATGAAATTCTACCTGACTCATGCTAATTCTGGCTTATTTTCACTTAGCCTACAATAATGAAATTTCTGTTCAAAAAGGACCTGTCAAATGGCCTATGCCTTAAATTTAGGTTTTGTTTTAGGATCAAATACCTTCTTAAATATTAATATTAAAATCAGCTTTTCTTTAAAAAAATCACAAATTCTGCAAAGAAAATTCTACAATTCATGAATAGCAGTGATCACTTTAGTTTTATAGTGTACTTATGAATGGCCAAAATTTGGTTAACATGCAATGAAGTTATTGCATGTTAACCAAATTAACATCAAATATTATGATTTAAAAATTGATATGCTTTAAACAGAAATATTATGATTTAAAAATTGATACACTTTAACAAACAAATCTGCACAAATAACTTTGGTGAATTTATGTAAGCAATTCCAATAAATTCTCTCTCCTACTTATTCCACTCTCATGGAGGGGTGTGTGTGTGTGTATACATATATATGTATGTGTATATGTATATATACATATATACGGTGTGTTTGTGTGTGGTGTGTGTGTGTGTGTGTGTGTAGCTCCCAATTTTGAAGATATTAAAATTTAGGGATAATAAACTATAAATGTTAGCGTCATCACCAACTATTCCAAACCTAAGGTGCTATAGATGCCCTTGTTTTAGCATCCTTTTACGTAGACAGCAAGATCTCATTCTGATACTCAGAAGATTTTAAAAAGGGAAAAAGTCATTAGACTTGGTATCTCAATTTTTATGGTGAAGAAAATCTTAAAATTATGTTCACATGTAAAATAAACTGAATTGTGGAGCTATGAAAGCTACTCAAGCATCAGTTTCAGAAAGTCCCATTCTAAAATCATCTGGAAATCTCTGTGTGTATATCACCTGAAAAAAATGAGTGGGAATATTGTAGATGAGAAGGTAAAACATGAGTGGAAGATAAAAATAACCATGCCCACACAGTGGGGTCACCAGGGCTAGCAGATAACCCAAAATGTCATAAAAGAAAAATGTGTTTAGAACGTTTCAACAGGGCCAAAACACAAAGTGTTAAAAGCACACAAACAAAAATGAATGAGATAATCCCCCCCAACATCAAGTTACATAAGAAAATAGGAAGAAAAAAGTTGACATAGTATCTTTTTAAATATATCAAATCTTGACTGACTTAAAAAATGATATAAAGTGCTTGGGCCATGATACCCACCCAGATTCTCATTATCAACGGATTTATCTTTTCCCCTCCCTTCCACCCAAATTTAATTCAGTTTTCCTGAAGAAAAAGTACAGCATCCCTGTATTAATAAGAAATGAAAACAGTGAGTACAACTGATATAGATCCATTGACTTTTATTACAAATGTACTTGATCACTTGGCTTCAAAAAGTTTAAAATCAATACCCTATTTTCTGTATGCCAGTACAAAGCAAACTGTTTTACAAATTAAATACCTAAAAATTTGACAAAAATATTAAAATTTGATGAAAAACAATTATAAAAATCCTTAATCTCTCTCTTCAAAAAAGGAGGCAGTCTTCCCAGTCCTATTATACAATATTAATAATATTTACCATTTTTAGAATAGGTAGCTAAATTATATCTTTCTGTTAGCATACAAAACTTAGACTAATAGATTTTATTTGTATATGCTCCAGTTAAGTTTGTGAATGCCATCTGATTGCAATATAATCAACTATCTTTAACTGAATCCTAATTTACACTTATTTAATAATTTGCATAGTTTGAAAGGGATAAAGGTTATTCTACAACTAATTATCATAGGCTATTACAGTGCTACTTTTCAAGGCAATAAGTATTTGCTCCCAAATGAAATTATCTGTCTTCTTTAGGCAGGGGTTAAAATTACTAGCAGCTTTCTCTATTACCTGAAAAATCAAATTGGAAGTTAACCATCTCTAGATGTGAAGGCCTAAAAAAACATACTTTCCGCTTTGAGTCAAATTTCAACCCCTGCATGGGACAACTAGAAAGTGAGACTTTCAAGGTTTTTTATTTCCCTGTTGGTTTTGGTTTCTACTCTCCATGGCTTTTTGAGAAGCTGGAAAACAGTTTGTCTTTCCTGACTAGCATGGTCTTTTTTTCCATTTGGCAAATATTCATCTACCTCCAATCTGTATCTAGTAGAGGAAAAGCCAACATGGCTTTTCTTATGAACTTCCTTTGTTGTCAAAGGCATGTATAATGATTTCTACAGTTCTGGTTAGTTAACTTTAGCTCCCTCTGTGGTTGGATGACTGTTGCTTCTAACACCAGCATGATAAATAGGAGGCACAAATAAAAAGTAGCTTAAAAAAATTTGGTGATTTAAAAGAAAAAAAACAAACAACTCCAAACACACACACATACATGAGCATTTCAAATCTGGTGGCTGATCTCTGGATTAAATTACTTGACAGTGTCTCTCATTTTAAAGAACGTCAATATTGCAATGCAGTTCAAGTTTTCTTTTATACTTAGGCAAATAATACAGTTTAACCAAGCTCTTGGACCTTAATTGTAAGACAAAGCAGATCAATAAAAATAAGGCATACTTCTCAGGAATTAAGTTTTGTTTACTTGTTTTTGGCACATTTGATCATACTGTCTTCTATGAATAACACATATGGTCAAATATACCATTTCCTTATTTGTGTCAGCACAAACAGGGTTTGCCAACTACTAAAATAAAAACAAGGAAAAACTCCAACATAAAACACTGAGATATAGAACCTTGGTAAAGTACCGAGCACCTGGGAGGGAAGGGTAGGGAAAGAATGAAACAGGAGAGGGAAGACAAGTTTTGGGAGGGTGCTTGGGGAGGTAAAGTGAGATGCTTAAAAAAAAGAGCATCTTTACAGTCACTTAGTCTTTTCTACGATCACTTTTTAAGTCTTAAAAGATCTGCATGTGGATTTCTTTTTAAACCCACTGACCATAAATCAGACACTGGTTTCAAAATCTTAGTAAGATTGTATTCAACTGTTTTAGTGTAAAGACAACTGCACAATACATGTGCTTCTTGAGCCGGTGGGATTCCAAGCAGAATCTGTAGTCTATAGGTAAGAAAGGCTTCACTTTAGGTAACTCTGGCCCTAAAGAAAACCTCATGAAAGAATTCGCATTTCAAAGAAAGGACACTTTGCCTAAGTTTGCTGTGTTTTTGTTGACTTGCACTACTTATTGCTGGCTACTTTTTGAAACAGTAATCTAGGAGTACTCCAACAACCTGTAGTACAAGGCTTAACTTTAAGAAGCTATAGTAAACAAGAGACAAAATCAAAGCAATTCTCTTTCCTAATTAGTAACAGCACAGAGAATGCAGTCTTTTCCATATCACAGTTAAAGTACAGTGAACAAAACAGCTCAACAAACCTTAAGACAAAAAAGTGCAGGTTATTAATGTTTACATGCAGTTGATAAGCATTCCAAATGTCACATTATGCACTGTAAAAGCTCAACTTTACTATATGGAAATAAGAAAAATGCACCTCTGGGGAGGGGGAAAAGCAATTTAATCATTTCCAGTGATTTTGTAAGTAAAGAAACTCCTAACTACTGTACGGTCACCTCATATTTAACATTTTATGAATATTAAAAGCAAACAATTTAATGAGAAAATGCACAGTACAATGAAAATAGCTTGTTATTCAACATATACAGTAGATCTCAAAAACGAAGACAACACACTAAACCAGGGAGCATAAAAATATCAAATCAAAACCCAAAGAACCAGCAGAAAAAAAAATCCTTCAAAAAGACAACTGTTTGCCTTCCTAGGCCAATGCTTTACAATATGAGAAGCACTGATACCTTCCCGCTCCTACAGGTGGTGTCTTATACATACAGCAGTTAGATCTATATGGCTGGATTTGCCAAGAAACAATTCCATCCCCAGAACTCTCTGTCAGACAAGACCCTTTTTTTTTTTTTAATACCAAAATACTTTCTACAGAATTCCAAACCAAAATGTACTGTTTAAGGCATCTTTTTTTTATAACATTTTCTCTTCACTCAAAGATGATAGTCATGCAGCAGTTTAATGATAAAAATATATTAATATTTTACTATACAGCAGCAAGAAGTTAGTCGTCAATTAAAAGCACACAAACATCTTTAAATGAAAACCTGTAAAAGACTATCGTTACAAACAATTTCAGTTTGGAGGACACCAGCTTGGTAAAGTGCTCTCCTAAACTTTGCATTTTTATACCCTACACCTTGAATATATGAGTTATAGAACATACTTTTGATAGAAGGCTTGTACACTTGGGGAACACAAATACACTTAGCATATAATGTAGCCAGTAATAACTAGCACCACAGCTACATGGAAATCCTTTACATACACCAACTTGGCTTTCACTTTAAAACAAAACTCAGAATCCATGGCTCAGTAGGATAACTATAATTGTGTTGCTCTGCTTTTTAACAGGTCTACATAAGTTAATAGCACTAGCAAAAATCAAAGGATAGCTTCAGACCTCTTACAAGTTTAGGAGACAGTGCTAGTGACCACAAATAGACTCACTACCTGATGTCCAAGTACAGGTTCACTGGAAATTGCTGCACGTTAGTTAAGTTTTTAAAATCTTTCTACACATAATAAAAAAAATATATTATGAACGATACAAGTACATCTCATATACACAATAATGACAAAACGCCTACTCAGTCAAAGCAAACAGATGCAGAAAAATATTATGGGAGATTTCCTTTTTCTTTCTTTTTCCTTTTACTATTTGAACAACTTTGGTTCCAACCATAAAAATCACAACTTAGCAAATTTCATTTAAATGCCTTTTTTAATAATTTCTTCATGTTCACAGAAGTTTCACTGACCATTTTTTATATGTTTAAGGTCCAGATGCAATGCATATTGTATAAAAGAGAGCACTTATTGTTTACCTTGCATGAATTAAACCTACGTACCTTTAACTCTACAAACTTCTGCATAACATTTAGACAAAGCTCAGACACACAGCATGCCTAGCCCTCATATATATACACATCTCTAATCACAGGTATATAGGGTGTCAAATATACTATAATAACCTCCATGTAAGGTTTGAAATTTGGTAACAAAATGAGAAAAACTAAAAATATTATTTTACGTGTTCTAAAATATCTCTTTTTTTGTGCTAAAGTCAAATGTTAGCTCAACATGAAAAGGACTTTTATATAATTCAGCAATATTATAATCTTGACCATTTTGCAAACACTTTTTAATAATAATAGCTTAAACGTGTACAAAAGTTCTTGGTTAATTAGGGAAATAAACACTCAGTTCTTTATATTTTTTAATCAAGTAGGAAACACAGTTCATATAATGTTATTACTTTTTGTATTTTTTTGTTTTTAGCAGCTGCTTACTGTTTTATATGGTGGATAAAGTGGACAACATCCAGCGATGAGTGGCAAGTCAAGAAGAGAAACTGTCAGTTGGTGGAGGTTCTGTGGGTGGTGCTCCCTTGGAGTTAACAGGTTTTTTTTTTTTTTTTTTTTTNGGATTTCCTAATGTTGATCCCACTTGGTTATGGTTTGTTATTTTCATAATGTGATGTTGGATTCTGTTTGGTAATATTTTATTTAGTACATTGTTGCCACCTTGACCTCCTGGGCTCAAGCAATCCCCTGCCTCAGTCTTCCATGTTGCTGGGGTTACAGGTATATACCATCATGCCCTGCTGATTTTAACTTTTTAACTTTTTATTTTCTCTCTTTCTTTACAGTATATTTTCTCTGTGTGTGGCTGTGTGTGTGTGTGTGTGTGTGTATGCATGTGTGTGGGGGAGTTTTCATTCAGTTTGATCAATCTTCTTCCCCTTCTTCCTCACCCTGCAGTAGCAGGGTGGCAGCGGCGGTCTCCTCCTGCTGCTGCTGTTGCTGTTGGTGGAGCTGCTCACAGGCAGCCCGCTTCTCCCTCTGCTTCTCTTGAATCTTCTTCATCTCCTCCGAGTACTTGCAGAAGGTGTGTCCGAACTTGGCCCACACCTTGTAGGGCACGGTGATGGAGTTGCGGTAGGTGGGCTTCACCTCGCTCACTCGCATAAACACGCCGTACTTGTTGGAGCCCACATCGAAGAAGAAGCGCTTGTTGTCCACAGTCAAGGAGGTGCCCTCGGGCAGCTCGGCCGGCTCCTCCTCCACTCCGTAGTCGTCGATGAGCTTGGCCAGAGCGTCACGGAACTCGATGAGCCCCTGCGCGGGCAGCGCAATGGTCTGGCCCTGCGTGGAGCCCAGGCCAGGCCCCCGGTTGACCGTCTGGCGGATGCGCAGGAAGCGGCCGCGCTGGTTCTCCTTGAGATCCATGTAGTACTTGCGGTTCTCGCGCACCAGGAACTCGCTCTTGAGCGCCCGGCGCGGCTCGTCCTGCGCCTGGGCCAGGTCCGGCGGCTGGCTGGGGCCCAGCTGCGCGTAGTGCTCGATGAAGTCGCCCAGGTAGTCGCGGAACTCCACGGCCACTGACATGGAGAGAGTCAGGCGGCTCTTGTTACCGCCCGCGCCCACCTCGGCAATCTTCAGGAAGCGGCCCTTGGCGTTCTGCTTCACGTCCAGGTAGAAGCGCTTGTTCTGGATGTCCACCCGCTTGGAGGCCAGCTCCTGCGTCTCGTGCTGCAGCCCCCCTGGGGCCCCGCCGCCGCCGCCGCCACTGCCGCCGCCGCCCCCGCCGCCACCACCGCCCCCGCCGGAGCCTGAGCCCGAGCCGGGGTGCCCCAGGGAGCCGCCCGAGCCCAGCGCCGCACCACCCTGCTCGCTGCCGCTGTCTCGGTCCGCCATGATGCTGCGCTCCGCTGCCGTGCCGCCGCCGCCGCCTGCCGCTCCGCCCGCCGCCTCAGTCGCCTCAGCCGCCGCTGCTTTCCCTCCCCGGCTCCGCCTGCTGCCGCCGCAACCCCCACAGCCAGTCAGCCACTCTCGCGAGATCTGCGGGAGAGACGAGACAGACGAGACCCGGTAACAGGGCACTGACTCCCCAGTACAGTAGCAGGGCGCCCTACTGTACGCGCCCACCCGCCCGCCGACACGTGACCTGCGCCCCCTCCCCACTGCTAGCCCCCCGTCCGCCCGCCCGCCAGGCGGCGCCCACCCACCAGCCCTCACCCTACAACCCTGGCTGGGTGGGGGAGAGAGAGCAGGACGCGCCGCGTCGCAGCTGCTGCTGCCGCTGCCGCCGCCACTGCTACCACCACCACCACTACCGTGGCTGTTGCTGTTGGCCAGACCCTAGGCGGCCTCAGCCTGGGGAATTAGGGGACTAGGGGTGAGAAGGAGTCTGCCATACTAAACACAGGGAGTGGGCCTAACTAGCTCTGCTTTCCAGTGACTCCCCCAAAGAGGATGTGGGGGGAGGGGCCTGCGCAGCACAGCAGAGCCCGCTGCAGAGAGGGGACACCGAGTCACGGCCACCCCTTCTCATGCGGGCCTCAGTCAGACCCTGAGCCAAACCTAGACAGGCCCGCACGCCACCCGGTTGGACTGTCTCCTACCGCAGAGCCCTGGCTGCTGAGACAGGCGAGGAAGAGAGGTGGTGCGGTGGTAACCCTTAGCTGCAGAGGGGGCTGCTAGGGATGAGGACGGGGCGCAGGCAGCAGTGGCACGGAGCGGCAGACACCTAGCCTGTCCCTCCCCTCTCCCTCCTCTCTCTCCCGCCGCTCCCCCTCCCAGCGCACACGGCAGTGGCTCTGGCCTCAGATGATCCCGCTCCCCCCTCCCCCCAACCGCAGCCCCGCACAGTCGGGCGGGCGGGCGCACTCACCGATGGGGGAAGCCGAGCAGAGGACAGTAGACGCACCAGGGCTAGGGTGCCCGCAGTGCCTGTTCCCGTCGGCTCTGCCCTTCCCCACGAGCAACAATCAAAAAGAAACCCCACATTCACCCAAAAACCTGCAGCCAGTCCCCCTTGGGACCACGACTGCCTGCCTACCCGCCCGCCTCCCCCTCCTCCTTCTGAGATTTGGGGAAGGGGGGCACCCTGCTCAGGGCTGAGCCCAGCCTGTGTTGCTGGCCAGCTCTGCGGATGAACCAGGCCCCTGTGAGCATTCAGACCCTAGCCCACACTTCTTTTCTGGAAGGACCCAGACTGGAGGAGAAAACCAAGTAGGCTTTCGGAAATTCATGAGCTAAAAATGTTAGGAATTTCCTGGGAAACGCAGTTCCTTAACGAGATTCATTAAAGCAGGTTCGCTTGCCCCTTTTACTCATCTTCCCAGAAACTTGTGTCAAGCAGAGACCCCACTCCGAAAAGTAAAACATTAAATGATCAATGGTTTTTATGCAGACAGCTAGGTTGCTGACCATTACTGAACCAGTGAATCTTTGGACGGTGATAGCCAAAAGGGATTTTCCCTGGTGTTATAAAGGGGCTCAGAGATAACTGATTTCTCTCTTACTAGACCTGGTGTATAACCCAGGGCCTATTTCCAGATAGGTACTAAGTGCTCATACTCTCTGACTGCAGTCTGCATCCCTGGCACTGTGGAGAAAGCTAAGGCCTATCTCCAGGGGACCCCCCTGCCAATGCTCCCACACTCTTCCCCTATCACCTTCTACAGGCAGCTGAGAGGCTACAGATCACACAGCTCTGCGACTAGTTTTCTCAAGCACAGATTGCTGCCTCTATCCTGAGAAAAGTGTATCTATTCCACCCGTGGGTTGTATTCCCATTGAGCATCTCTTCCCCCAAAAGGAGACTTGCCTCCCTCACTCTTAGCCAGAGGGACAACTGAAATATGGTTGCCCAGCTTCCTAGAAGAGAGTGGACTAACGATCAAAAAACCAAGAGCAGCCTAGGGAATAAGCCTTGTTGATTCCTGAACCCTCAAAGCCCCCGAACATATCCCTTCGCCTCCTGAACAAACTTGCCTGCTAGGTATTCACAGCTTCCTTTTTCCCTTAGTAAGAGCCCCATTCTACTCAGCATTAGCTACTTCAGTCCTGGGCTGAAGTTGCGACTTCCCACTGAAAAGAAACAAGCAGCACCTGGCCACCAAAGAGCAAACGGGGGCAGTCCTGTGCACCGGACCCACAACAACCCACCTATGTCCAGTGGTCCTTGAAATGGCTCCCTGAACAGGAAGGCCCACGCCAAGAGATAAAAGCCCAGGCTTTGGGCTCCATAAAGAACTTGCTCACTTTGGGGGCAACCTCTAGTACCACATAGTATCATTTCCGTGATTTTTCTACACTCCCTCCCCGTCCCAAAGTCTATTGGGAAGGGGACACAGAACTTTTGAAGCACTTTCCACTGCACAGAAATAGATGTGTGAAGAAGCAGTAGCTCCTCCAGGCTCAAACAGTGGCAATCAGGACCCTGGATAGACCCCAGCCCCTCCAGGAACAGAAAGGCTGAGCAGCAGGATCTCCACAGAGAATGGAGTGGGGCATTGCGCTTTGCTAGTAAACTGAGGCTAAGATCTAGTAAAATCCAATCTAGAAGGGCTGCTGTTCTTCCTCAAGAGTTTACCTTGCATCAAACCAAGCCCCTGCTCCCTAATGAGAATTCAAGGCAGCAACAAAGCCAAAGAGAATACGATGAGGGCCCCACCCACCCCCTGCCAGTTCCTGCCTTTCTTCTGTGCTGATTGCTGCCCCCAGGACAGAAGACTAAGACTCGAAAATGCCTTCCGTCCTATCCCAACTTCCAGTCTAAATTTTCTTGCCCTCCGTCGTCGTAGACGTCTATATACAGGGATTCCGAAGTGATTTGTTTGGAAGTACCCTGTTTTTCTGAAAAAGTGGCTGCCACCAACAACTGACTTCTTAGTTCCCCAGCGCAAAGCCAATTATGAAGATTCTAGACAGAACACAAGCTGAACATCACGTGTACACTTAAACTGAGAATTTTAAGCTCAAATCAGCAAATGACTGAGACCTAGATCTCTCCACATAAATATGTACTTATTTTATGCTATTCATTATCTCTGTATAAAACTTTTCCCTTATATGCCAGCTTCTCTCCTACTTTATACGTTTCTGAAAAGCAAACAAGATTAACATGGCATTTCCAAAATAATTCAATGATAAATAGGATATTTAGCATATTTTCACTATTGAAATGAGAGTTAATTTCAGGATAAGCCTTTAAGTGTGGGTTTTTTTCTCAGACTAAAGAGGTGAAAGGCAGCTTTCCTTGGGAGAAATGAATATAAACTTCCAGAAAAGTCTTAAAACAAAAAGTTTAAACTTTAAGTAAAACTTCACAGTTATATTTGCATTGTAACACTCAAAAGTCATTAGAAAATGAGTGGATTTTAAGACTTCTAACCATTTGTTAATTATCTAAACAATATACTAACTTGGTGAATGAAAAGTCTGTTCTAGTATCCAGCTGTTTGAATTTGTTACTGTAAAACAAATAGTTGTAAAACTAAATGTGTAATTTCATCACAATGTAGGAAAGACAAAGGGAAAACGAAATATAATATACAGCAAATTAATATGCAGCAAAAATCCATGTTAATGAAAAACTTGTCAAAAGTAAACATTTCCTTTCTCCTCAAAATTTGCTTACATTTTAAAGACATAATGTCTCTGGATTTCTTGAGCCCTTTTATTATTAATACAACAGACACATTTTAAAAAGAATAGAGACTGCTTTATTTTTAATCCCACTGTCTCTGGGTATTTAACAAACTCTTACCAACAAAAAATTGTGCGCAAAGAAATAGACATTAGGCAGAACAAAAAGGGAAAAAAGCTTTAATTTTCTTCAGCCTGAACTACAGGTGATTCTGAAATAATCTAATTCAGCTTTGGTTTTATAAAGTAAAAATCAACACACATTTATAAAATAGAAAGAGGTTGTCTACCTCTGGGTAGTAACCCTTTTGGTTATAGCGTTCCTAATAGAAACAATATGTTGATTAATATTTTACAAAATCACAAATTTCCAAAATAAAGAACATTAGCGCTTGTGTTTTCAAGTTCTTAGGTTAAATACCAGTCTTAAACCAGACAACTATCTTCAATACCCAACTCATTAAAACTAACTGGGATATTGTACTGCAAATGTTCAAAGTGGCGATATGAGCCATTTCTTCTCATGAGTATCTACCAAAAAAGAGAAACTCCCAAATCTTAACATTTAACAACAACAACGACTAATAGTAACAGCATTTCCCGGATCTTTCTTTAAAAGCGTATCCCTTTTCTTTAGCTCACTTAATCTTGAAAATCATGACTCTTCAATGCTATTTTAATGTTTAGGATTAAAGATATGAAGTAAACATTTAAAATATGAAGAGAACAATCCACATTATAAAAATTCTTGCATTTCCAAAATGTTTTCATTTTAAGCATTTGCAGAAGAGTTAAATAAATGTAGCAGACATTCTAAATTCGATAAAAGATTCAGAGAACCCGACATTTTATATACCCCAAAGGTCCAAACAGAACCGATGTAAATGTCAATAGCTCTCTCCCTTCCGGTTGATACTTAAATGATTTTACTAGTACTCAAAGCAATGAAATCAGCAACTCTCTCTCCACACTCTAGTCAACATTCCTATTTTCAAAGCCGCAATTCGCAAACGTCAGTTGGGCGGGGGCGGTGGGGGATCTTGAAGTAATCCAAAAATTTCCTTTCCCCTTTGACAGTCCACCAAAAGATGTCAAACCAAATCCAGCCTATTGTAAAGCTCTGGGACCTCCCTTCCAAGGACACCGAACACAAGCATAGACACCGTTGCGAAAAGCTGTCCAAAAGCGCCTGGTCGGACAGAAACGTAAGGAGCCCAGACCAAAACGAATTAGAACCCTCAACAGAGGGTCCCGCAGACACCGCGGAAAAGAACGTGGCATTTATTCCAGGGTAGACAGCTACGAACCGGAGTTACCC